CTGAATATGAAAGGGAAGCTTCTAATCTCAAGGGTGTTCATAAATATTGACAATAATTAAATGCTGTACCTTGTTAATTGGATGAGAAAAACATATTGAACGAATAAATTCCAAACATACAAATATTCAAGTATAATTATTATGTTTTCCCCATGTCAGTTATCGTTTCAATTTTATTTACCAAACAATTCTTTGTACTTATGAAACCATTTTTATCGAGTAGGGAATGCTGTGTCGTACACTTGACAGTTGTCTTGTAACCAGGATACTACATGTATAATGAGACATAGGGTCACAATTTGTTACATATATACTTAATTTTATAGAATTTGAACTACTCATATTTTTTTTTTACAGAGAATTATTGGAGATTGTTCGTCGCATCCTTGCAACTTTAATGAGATATGTATTTCTGTCATCGGGCTGAAGGGATTCACTTGCAAAATGCCAGGTAAAGATAAAAAAAATTTTCCTTGGTAAGTAAAACTTCCATTAAAAGCAAAATTTAACTTATAAAATCTAATGCAATATGTGTATATTTTGTCTTTTATATTCCGTATATATTCGCCTTTAAGTCGGTCCGCCTATAAGTCGGTTGTAATTTTTGAGGTTATTTTGGAGGGATTTGCCATTGACCAACATATAAGTCGGTACAACTTTTTGCAAGAACAGGTTGACAATTTCAAATCAATGTTTTAACTTGTTTTAGTTAATTCTTTTGAGAAATGACGCCAATATTCAATTTTAAATCCTCAAAAAAAAAAAAAAAAAAAAAAAAAAAAAAAAAAAGTATTGCACACTTTAGATAAAGATAAAATTATTGAAATATGTAAATGCTTGTACTTTATGCATAATCTTAGAACACAAAAATTATATATGCAGACTTTATTCAACGATAATCGTCGGACACGTTTATAAAATACTACATGTTTGCGTTCAAAATAACGCCAATTTTCTATGACTCGCCTATAAGTCGGATATAAAGTTTTGGACCAAAATTTAACTCCCAAAAAAACGACTTATAGATAAGTATAAACGGTATGTGAAATCTAATTGTCACTGATTACTTGTAGTTATCTATGTAAATACACTGTAAAAATTGTGTTTAGGAAATAAACACTTCTATTACATGTTTAGATCTAAACGTGAATAGTACTGTGTTTAACAACTAAACACTTATGTCTTAACATGTTTTATATCTAAACGCGTTTAGCAATTAAACACATTTTACTGTAAAGTGCAGAGTTATCTTCCCGGAAATGACACACATATATTTGAACGTTAATTTGAGCGGCTACCTAAACAAAGAAACACAACAAGCTAAGGTGATGTATCAGTGAGAGATATGACAACCCAATTCAAGGGATAACCATGACGAAATAGTGAAATACGTGAAAGGGCATCTTGTTACTGCAATACATTAAAGGTTTGTTTTCTTCTTCTTTGCATTAATTAACCACGATGAGCAACGTAAATAAAGTTGACTTGGGATATCTTGAATTCGTTCATAGACTTGCAGGAGAGGAAATAATATTAAATGTCATTATCTATATTTATATCAGTGTAGTTTCACTAAAATTTGAACAATTTTGTTTTTCTAAGTAATGTAAAATATCAGTGATAGTGTACTTCTTCTAAATCTGGCTTTCTTTCCTACAGGCACCGTACGTAGTCCAGATCGAACTCAAAATACACGTATCAGAGTACCTGGTGTCATCTTCAAGTGATTGTTGTTGTTCCATAATCAACACTTTGAAACTTCATTTGTTGAAGACTACTGTGTTAATTCGGCAGTGTTTACAATTATCCTCGTGCATTCGAAATCGGTTACTTTCTGGCAGTTATTGATGGGATATAGATTATAATATGTGGTGCTTTGGGACTTGCTGAAAGTTCATAAAATTTGATATTTTGTGATTGACATGAGGAAAACTCTGCAGCCGATTCAAATTATAATGATTATAATAAATATATATATAAATATACATTTTGTCTTTTTAGTTTAACAATTCTTTAATAAAGCCTTTTAGAAATATTCAATGAAGTTTTGATATTAAATTGTCAGCTTAATATTATTTTCTTAATAATTTTGAAGATAAAAAGTTTGTTATCTATGTATCGTTATTAATTATGTGTCATTCTGATTGAATTGTTGAGACTAATCAAATCTATTCAGTTCTATCTCCTACATTATTAGTGTAGATTAAGTACATGTACTTCGCACAGTGTCCATTGTATTGTATAATTAAATACATATTCCAGCGCTCAGTGGCTTTATGGAAAATAATTAATATTGGTTACATATTTTGAAAATTTTGACAATTATGCGCATTTAAAAAACATATACTTTTTGTGCCTAAATTTACGAGTGTTTTATTTTTCTGCAGGTACAAATTAAACTTATGATGTGTTTAGATATTAAACACATCTGCTGTTATGTGTTTAGAATTTAAACACTTGTGTTCATGTGTTTAGATATGTTTAATTCCTAAACACACAAGTGTTTAAAATCTAAACACTTTCTAAGACATGTTTAGGAATTTTACATGTTTAGAAATTAAACATATAAAAAAGGAGGTGACAAGAAAGTGTTTAGAAAAGTGTTTGAATTGTAAACACATTTTTTACAGTGTACTGTTCTATTACTCTACATTATGACCAGAGCTTTGGGTAAATTTTAAATCTTATACAAAAAGATTAGATTTTTCAGTGTTTTATTTCAAAGCACCTATCTCCCCTCTTTTCATCTCAACATTAAATGGGTTCAATCTTTGTTATGTTACAAGTATTTCACAATCCATTCTAAGTGTTCTACTGAAATAAACATATTGAAAAGGGATCTACACTAAAATTTATATTGTTGATATCTACAGAGAGAAAATTAAATTTGTAATGTAGCAATCAAAAAAATGACTACTGATTTTTCTCAGACTGTGGGTCACCACCTTCTTTCTTCAATGCCAACTTGATACCTTACAATGGACAGCTTGTGACTGAGCAAGGCTCTAAAATTACCTACATGTATATGTACACACGTGATCAATCTACTCATTGGCTGGATAATGCTGATTTCCAAATGCTCTGTGAGGATGGAAATTGGAAGTATAATCAGAGTGGTACGTGCTTATATATTTCAATAGTAATTTATTGGGGATTTATTACTTTGGTGAAATCGTTTGTAGAAAAATAGTTTGGGGGTTTCTTGATCTTCATGAGCTTTCCTTTTTGTGGTATTTTATTTCCATTTTGTCGAAGTAATTTTTGCAGTTGTTATTGTTGACAATGATGTTGAAAATAATGACGTCATTGATGATTTACAGTCAGCTCCTCTCGGTGTGAGTTCCCTGGGCTCCTTACCTCGGTGGTAGAGATGACATTCGGGATAACATCGTTCCTTGTACCAAGAGTTTTCAAAAATGGGGAGGAATGGTTGGTATGTTAATTTAGATTACCTTATTCTATACAGACGTTGATTATCACCATTGTAAATTTTTGCAATTTTTTAAATTTTGTCTTTAGAGCGAAAAAAGTAAAATCAACCGTACATCAATAATAAACTAAGATTTATTCGATGTATAAATTTCTAAGTGCGGCGAAAAAGTCAGACGAATTTGTATTTCCCTCACTTGCAGGTTATCCAAAGAAGATGCAATGGACAAGTTCATTTTAATCGATCTTGGCATGAATATAAATATGGATTCGGATACTTGGATTCCGAATTTTGGATAGGTATATAGTGCTACCTCTATAAAATGATGATTCCATTTACTGAATTTAATGAATAATTTCAAAGGCCGTTATATCTTTACAATACCATTTTGAATTGATCCATAAAAGCATACATATTACAAGTATACGTCTTACTTGAATCTTGTCATATAACTGTTGTGTTTCTATTTGGTCATTAATTACATATATATCCCATAGGTATATGACATGTAATATTACTTTCTACTCCACTTTATTTATCACTGCACGAGACATGTCCTGGAAAGAATCATATCGGATGTTGTGAATAATTTTTAAAAATATTTTGATAATTTAGATGATTGGTTGCTCATCCAAACTCTTGGATAATATGAATTTTTTGGTGTTTAAATAGGATACTTTGATGATTTTGATTTTTGAGACTTTGACGTTTTTCATACTAATTCTTAGGCCATCATTTACACACTGAATTGTCTACGGATATTTCCCGATTATGTCAAGGAGCATACGTCGGGTGTGACCGGTCCGCAAGGGATGCTCACTCCTCTATGGCACCTGATCCCAACTCTGATGTCTTAGAGGTCCGTCTTTGCTCTGCCCCTGATTTGTACTGTTTGAATGGACATTTGAGTTTGAATACTGTTCATTATCTCCATATTTAATTTGGAGTCTCAGATAAAGATGACAGATTTGGTTTACATGTAATCAGTACTGTGATAAAAAAAAAAATTCTTAATCAGGATGGCAATTCTTTTTAGTACTTTACTAATGTCGGATTAGTGTAATTATAGTTATTAACTACATATTGGGGACGATTTGATTTTCTATTTAGACTTGTCACGTGATGTTACGGTCTTTTTATTTTAGCACATATACTTGCAGTATTGATATCGCATATAAATTTCAACAGTGTAAGGGAATTACCAAGTTTAATTCTAAGTTAAGTCTGTAAATATTTTCAACACACATTTAAGTTCGTGAAAAATGCTGCGATTCTAAATAGATTGTACTATTTCTTTGTAAAAATCTTATTTTTTGACCGCATGTTGAATTGTTTGCTTATCTACTGCATTTAATATAGAAATCATTAATATCAATTCATTTTCAAGATTTCACCAGGATTGCAACACTTATCAAATAGCTTAATATTTGTAGAAGATATGTGTAAAAGCTTACTGTGATCTTGAGAAGATTTTTGAAAGATGCCACACATTTTCACTACTTGTAATTCTAAATTATCTCCCCTTGAAATGGCCCTTCGTTCTAAAAAAAATGAATCCACTTTACCCAAGATGCTTTGTGGTAAGTTTGTTGATTTTGGCCAAGTTGTTCTGGTGCAGAGGTCAAAAGGCTTACCGACTGAAGTCGACAGCTGACGCCGAACAAAATGTGATTAGAAAAGCACACTTGATCTTTCAGCTCTCTGAGCTAAAACATGAATTTCAAAATAAAACCGCGTATGTTGTACATCAATTACCTTTTGAAAATTTGGAATAATTCGTTTATGCATAAAATTGAGAAAAACGCTCTTATAAGCGGCCAGCGCCAAATGATATGAAGTAGGAAAGGTACTTATTGGTGACCTACATCACTATATTATCATATTATCACTATATTACTATATTATCATATCTTAAAAACAAATTGTGGAAAATAATTTGTTTCTGTATCAAAGGAAAATACTCCAAACCATTAAGGCTATCTTTTAAATCATTATGTTACTTGGCTAAAAAAATTATATCTTTCTTGGACCTTCTTAAAACTTGTCCTGGAAGAATTCAATTATTTTCAAATTTATGATTAATAGACATGCATTCTTTTACTGAGGTTCAAAAGGATTTATTCTTCTTTTAACTCTTTAACTCATCAACTAAATCAATGAAAGGCAAAAAATTGGGGTGTATATATAAGAGGATGAGGAAGGAAAGATGATATATAAGTAAAATGTTACTCTTTTTTCCCTACCTGTAATTTAATTCTTAAATCAATGTTTGGTGTAAGAATACAATGTTATAATTTTATATGCCTAGTTTATGTTGTAGGAAATGAAATCATTCGCAAGCTTTCGATTAATGGGTACGAAACTCTGGGAGTGGAACTCTATGCTGATCATCTATACTATGCTGGTTCCTACCGATATTTCTCTCAATATCAATTCAGAGTAGATACAGAAGTAAAAAACTATCAAGCGCAGTTTTACTACCTAACAGGGAATCTTTGTAAGTATTGTGTAAATTGTATAGCTCACACATGCATGTTACGGGTGCACGAGACAATCCTAGTGAAACCTGTGATATGACGTCATTTTTTTTTAAAATTTGTATCTAAAGATTAAGCAGAACTCTTGAAAAAATGGTAAAAATTCACAGGCCCTTAGGAATCAATTTCTGTTTGTTTGGATTTGGACAAGCAAAGGAAAATCAAATCAAACCAAAAAAGTCACCGGATGTTTTTGAGGGGACACAGTCCTAAATTAGCTTTGTTTTCTACCGTATAGTTACTGACCCTCCGGTTCCTATAGGCTTGACATATAAAACACCCTCAAATATTAAATTTTTTTTCAAGGCATATCAATAATAAAGAAAAAAATACTTTGACAGACAACGTATTACCTGTCAATCAAACGGTTAAATTATTAGAAATTGATTTAATAATGTTGGAATTTGGTCATAATTGCAAGTAAATAGATACATACAAAAGAGTTTCAGAAAGCAGTATTTTGGTATTTCATGTACATGTATGTTTATTCAAGAGTTATCGATGTAATTTCATCACACATTTTCGAAAGAAACATATAGTTCATAAGACTTGTTATTTTTTCTCTGGCTTTTTACCAATAAGAATAATTTTAAAATATGACATGTTTTATTATTCTAGAACTTATTATATTCAGATCAAGAGTTTAGGATTTATAATAATTGGAAATGCCACTAGAATCATGCGCGCACTGGTAAAAAAAAATACAGTTCTAAATTTAACTATGAAAATTTGGTGTGGTGTCATGTAAAAGTGTAGATTTATCATGCCATTACACTGTAACAGTGCAGTGAAATTGTAAGAGTAATTGAGGGTCTCAGAGGTGTTCCTCAAAACAGTATAAATATGTAATCAGTAATAAACAATTCTAAACTCTAGGTTAGACTGAATTAGTATTTCTTTATCGGTATAGCAGTCGAATGATAAAATTGTCAAGAGATTTTTTTTATATAAATAGGTTTAATGATTTAGTAAAGTTTATTTTACTGAAGCTAATTATGCTCATGAATGCCTACAAAATTATAAGAATATTCTGTATTTTAGAGAATGAGTTTGAAAGTCTTGCAAATCGAAATTTCATCATCGATTTCGTATTACTTAAGGCATTTTAGGAAAAATAATTAAACAATGAAATGTTCACTTTCTTGCTTATTCTTGTAGCTGATTCTCTATCCTACTTCAATGACATGAATTTCTCCACATGGGACAAAGACAACGATAATCACACTACTGCAAACTGTGCCACAAATAACCACGGAGGGTGGTGGTACGGAGGGTGCCACCAGGCAAATCTAAACGGCTTGTATGGTGTTCACAGAACTGACGGCCTCTCCTGGTGGGTCTCTGAAGACAACTGGATTTATCCTACCCATGTCATGATTATGATGAAAAACTAACGTATAAATCATCAAAACTATGGCCATGAAAAAATATTTTTACTATTTTATAACTAATTTTTTTTTCTCAAAACCTCGTTTAAACCTGAAGGAATACAGTTGAGTTTTAAGTGTAACTTGTTGTATTAGAGAACCAGTACCTTAAATTTTCAAATGGAGTCTATTGTCAGATTTTGCTTCATATAAATTGCAATGGTTTATGTCGTTCTCATTCCATAAATAGAATTGGTTACTGCTTATTCAAAGGCATTTATTTTCTGATTATTAGTCCCCTACCGTAGATTCCTCCTCTTTGTCCGTCTGTCTGTCCCTCTGTCTGTCCCACTTGGCTTTTCGTACTTTTTTTCTAAACGCTTGCAGAAATTGAGCTAATTTTTGGTATTTGAGTGTACCTTGATGAGTTACAGATAAAGTTTTCATTTCATTCCGCTTTGGTGAGTTTTGATAGATTGAAGACCTTTTTCATTTTTAAGACTGACCAAATTCTCAGCTTGGTTTTGATCAGAATAGAGTACAAGTATTAGATGGAAGTTGAAATGGCATTTCAAATTATGAGGAGATATTTGAAAACAATATATCATTCTGACTTCAATAATGCAGAGGTGAAAGAAGAATAAGAACGATAACGCTATCAATATGTACTGGTCCCAGTTGACAAGGCAGGTATTAACAAAGTCTTTGTTTGTAAGGACTATTACTATTGCTCTTTAGAGTAATTTGGATTTAATTCTACGGCTGGTAATTCAACTTAACCTTTCAGTTCCCTTTATAAGGAGGATTTTCTTCAAAAGCGTTTCATTTTTAAATAAGTTAATATTACCAATAACAAAATTGATTTGAATGAATTTGAATCATCAAACCTTTACTGGATTCCTAAACAAAAATACTTAGCTATTTCTAGTTAATTTCTACAAAGTTTCTTTCTTTATCCTTCATGAAAACAAAACCAGCAGTAAAGGAGAAACTTCAGAAGTACTGTGAAACAACATATTTGAGAAGTGGCTTTTATCAGACGTGGATACTTAATAACTTCACGGAACTCTTTAAAATTTTGAAACCATAAAAGGCTTTTGTGACGTCATAGACAACTGCTACGTCAATATAAATGGAACTCGCAATTTTGCATACCATGCCACTGGGCATCTGTAAACTTATATTGTTAAAAAAAAATTCTGATTTTACGCACAAGTACTCTGAAGTCGATATTAAAAAGATGATTGAGTTTCTCAGTGATAAGTTCTAATATGTGTAGTTCTTGTAGTCTCTCAATAATCTGATGGAATACGAATTGATACTACCTTATGTCCCTTTATTTGTAGATCTTTTTTTTATTTCTATAAAGAACTTATTCAAAATTTTTACTTGAAAAGAAGTCCCTTGATGTGACCTTCAACTCGATATTTAGATATATCAATCAACAGTATTCATTTCCATTCCTTCTTTGATGCCACATAATCCAATGAACTCGAAATAAAACACACCACAAAGTCAAAATACATTGATGGCAAACTTTTTGATAAACGTGATGACTTCTACTTTAAAAAGTAGTTAAAGAGTATCATACATGTAGTTAAAAAATCAACGTGTATGCTGAATTTAATTTCAACTGGAAAATTATATGATATTTCTGGTTAGAGATGTCATTTAAAGTTCAAATATTTCAAGGAAATGTAAACCTTTAACAATGTTAAATTTAATGTCAAGGACTTAGGTGTATCTTATAATATCCAGGGTGTTATTCTGCCTTTACAAACGTGCGATACTCGCTAACGGGGTCGTCCTTTTATCATAACTGGTTCAAAGTCTTCGGATTAATATAAAGCATATTCATTTAAGCTGTGCTCAACTATTTACAATATGAAAGGAAAGAATCTTTTAGTAAGAAGAGATGAAAACAATTCTTTAAAATAAAAAATATAGAAAGTATTTACTGTTGTTTTGATGATAGTAAAGGCTCCTACGGAATAGACATCCAGAAGAAGAAAAGAAAAAAAATTCATGATCGAAGAAATTGGGGGAGCAATTCTGTTACTTTCAATTTTCTCTCTAGTAAGTTAGTAAGTAAGTAAATATTTTTTATAGTGACCTGTGTATTACAATAACTATACATTCATTAGACAAATAAACATACAACACCCGGTCCATCGGACCTATAATTCACTTTTAGCAATATATATCAGTTACATGCGTGTGGTTTTTCTTTGTCTTATGTTATATGCATTATATATGAAACTCGCAGTTTGACGTAGGAAATGGGTTAATAGATGTTTAAATAGAACATTTGAATTATTATTATGTAAATCTGAAATCCTGACAATATAACAATTAATATGTTTTATTAACTCATTTCTCAAAGGTTTGTTTGATTGAGTCCAGCCACAAACATTCAAGTGTCCGATATGAAGAACACCAACGGGTCGGGATACTTGCTAGTCATCTCCTGTGTCATTTTCAGAATGCGGGGTCATTTTTACATATCGGCTGTTGGAAGTTACGCGGAACTGATTTCCCTGCGGTATTTGATTTAGCAGTGTTCTTGCATTGAGTTCGATTAATCTTTCGGTGTGAGATTTGCTAGATCGCAAATATATCGTTTTGTACGAATCGTGTTCACGAAGTTTCATTTCCTCGCGTAAAACTATTATCTTCTCCTGCAGTGTAGCAAATGATATTTTGACGATCCCCGGTTTTCCGAATCTACTCTTTATTCGTGTCGCTGCTTAGACGGTGACAGGCTCCTCGAGATCCATCTTATTAACTATATCTCTCGCCATCTCGAGGAGATCTTCCTGTTCCCCCATATAGCTTACATTCGTTGCGATTATAATGCGATTTGGATCCTCAAGGGGATTGCCAGTGTTTATCATGCCCGTTAAAGGTGAAGGTTGCGACACAATTGGTGATCGAGTCGGTTGACAATGGATTCAATGAAGCGTGACAATGATTCTATTCTCTCTAATAAATCGTAACGTTAGAGAAATTGGCATTGTTTCCAGGATCTACGTAAACATATGTAAAATCTCTTCTATAGTATGGATCTGTTTGTGTACAATACTCTAAGCTCTGATCTTGAACGCTGTCACCACTCTGTTTTGTTTCCCTTCGAAGCCAAGGGCAACAGTTATCATCCCGAACGTTTTATTTAGGGCGATATTATCTAAAGAAAAGCTCCAAATAAATATTTCATAATATAAATAAAATATTAAATCGGAGAAAAAGACGCAAAAACAATGTAATGAAAGATAACTCATCCAGTAAACATAAAGTGAAAATTAGCATTAGCATGAAATACATACTATAGCTAGATTAAATCATTCATATTTACAGTTTTCATCCTTATAACTTTTTGAACGTGTGTATCTACTTCTTTCTAATACTGCATACTTAAATTTATGTTATATCGAAAAAGACAAGGAATGTAAAAAAAAATCCTATCATAGCTACAAAGTTGATGATGAACAAAGTAATTTAGATACATTCTAGAAGTAAAAGATCATGCATTTAAAATTGTGCGCGTTGAATAACACAGAAAGCTTAATCTTTTGTGTTGGTGGAAATGTTTATGGACTTTCATTTACTTAATCCATTTGATCTGTCATTAGTATACCACTTGCTTTTTGCACGAGAAAATATCAAAATACTGTATTTGAATTGGTGCAAATTATTGACTCCTTGCTATTTTACCTCTGTTTTGAGATGTGAGAATAAACAAGGCAGAAATATTGTAAAAATTGTGTATGTTATATGTATGTTATAAAAATATGTGTAAGATCTGCATAGAACATGAAACGGGACTCGGATGTTTTTTGTCTTCTTCTTTTTTTTTTTTTTTTTTTTTTTTTTTTTTTTTTTTTTTTGGAAGGGGGTGGGGGTCTTTATCATTTTGTGTGTTAAAAAAAATAAATTAATACCTCTAACATTTTATTGACTTATTTTAGGGGCCAACCTAAATGCATTTTCATGAATCCTTTATATTACAGATAATTTTAGGCATTAAATTTATTGGACATATTTTGGGAGATGAGGGCACCCTTGTTAGTACATCAATAGTGTTCCTTTTTAGGTGAATTTTGAGGTGAAATTGAACATTATATATATATATATATATATATATATATATATATATATATATATATATATATATATATATATATATATATATATATATATATATATATATATATATATATATATATATATCTATCTATATATATATATATATGAGATTAGAGCATAGAGCATGACTGTAATAAAATTCAAAATTCCAATTTAGCTGTAGACAAATTTTGAAATATTAAATCGAAATTGATTTAATTTATCCCCCCCCCCCCCCACCAAATTAAAGATTCAAATATTCTTTATTAATCAATAGGTTAACATTCCTAGGTAAAAAAAAAAATCAATTTCGTGCTTTTTTACCATCAAGAATAAAAATGACAGTTGTTTGGATGATATCTAGAGCTCAGCTTTATTAGTTTTTTTTTTTATATTTATTTTATAAATTCGAATATACTCATGTGTTATGGGCTACTTTTACTAGCAAAATATATTCGTAAATTAATATTGGATTATTGGATTACATTGTAGTTTTATTTTTTTTTTAAAGGAAATGGACATACATACAATACTGTTTCCTTGTTCAAACGTACTACACATCTAAAAATAATTTAAGGATGCCTCATGTCACATAGTGAACAAAAAAGAAGTATGCATAAAGTTTCTTTTTATTGCAGCAGCATCAAATATCTCAAAATTCTACCATATTAAGCTGCTTACATTCGTTTACAAATAATGCAACCTTTAGCTCGAACACGCTGAAAACCTGTACATAGAGAAAAAAAAAACCTGTTCAATTACTCTTTATGAGAGTTTCTGAAGGTCAAGGGTGTAAAAAGTGAAGATGACCAACAGTGATCAATCTCAAAATTCCAGTAAAGAAAACGCATCGTGAACAAGGGCAAAAAATCACAGACCTTGAAAACATTAAAGGTGGGATTAGG